ATATAAACTCTGCTTCACAGTTATAAATTCCAAGCCAAGGTCCTTAAGCTTCTGGTTCGAAAACTTGTATGGTTTAGCCCTAGGTTTCACCTCATCTGAACACCTAAATTTCAACAACAAAGACCAAACAAATCATTAACATATGATATATATAATTCAAATGGTTTGTTCATCATCTTGTTCTAAATAAAAAATGTGAAAAGTATGCAGTAATGCTGTGCTGTGGTAGGTGAAGGTTTCAAGAACACAGACCCACAGTCCTACAATATTGACTTGTTGGTGTAAACCATACTCATTCATGTATATTGCGTGTGCGTGAATATGAATTCTGCCACTTTTTCTAATGGTTGGTCCCATTACTCCATATGGTCAGCTTTTTCTTTATTTTGTTTGGTGGAATGGTGGGTTTCTATAGACTATTATCCTATCCACACATGACACAAGTGAAACGTGGTTAGTGGAACCTCCACCTTCTCTTACTTAATCATTTTTGTGTGGGGAGCAGCATCTATCAGTAGTCACTACTCATCAGTCATCAGTCATCACTACTCTACTTTGGTGAAGTTTCAGTTTCAATCCTAGGTCCCATGATGATGTTAACATAAGATGGTGGGAATTGAAGGAAGCTTACTTTGTAGGAATAGGATATTCCGGGAAGAATTTTGACAGAATCTCCACAACCTCACCGCGGTGAAGTACGCTCTCCGCACATAAAAACCTTCCACTGGCATTTGGAGTCTCGTAAACGAGTACATGAGCTAACGCTACATCTCGGACATCAACATAGGCCTGTACTGAGTTGGCATATGTTTTAGCTGAACCTGTCAGGTATTTGAGTATATGAATGATGCTCGCATTCACTGTTGGTTGCAGTAGAGGACCCATGACTAACACTGGATTCACTACCACCAAATCTACTCCTTTCTCTTTAGCCATTTCCCATGCTGCCTGCTCTGCTACGGTTTTTCCGTAACAATACCAGTTCTGCCCATTACAATTGTAATTTATATTCAGTATAAGCAAGGGTATATATGACCATTAATTATTTGAGAAATAATGTATACACTAAAGATGTTTTACTATTATTACCTTAGTAATCTTGCAGAAATCGAGATCACTCCAACAAGACTCATCTACAACCACATCAGGGCCCCTATTAGGGTTCATGGTGACAGCACCAATTGAAGAAGTGAACACAACACGACGAACACCAGCTTCAGCAGCTGCATTAATTATATACTTGGTTCCATTCACAGCTGGTTCCACCATTTGTTCTGGATCATCAGTAACAGGAGAAGCAGTGTGGAAAACTCCATGACAACCTTTGATTGCTTCACGAAGACTCTCGTAATCAAGAAGATCTGCTTTACATAAAACTAGTCTTTCTTTTGCACCTTCAAGATCCTTTAAATGACTGTTCTTAGGATCATCTGTCATAAGATTAAATCATACAGTATAAGAAACTTAGAACATTATCAAAAAACAACAGGATTCAGATTAATAACTTATAACTACCTGGATTTCGGACAGTTCCTTTGACAGTATAACCTTTTTCCAATAAAAGTTTAACTAGCCAAGAAGCGATAAAACCTCCGGCGCCTGTAACACAAACTGTATGATCAGAAACTGAAGAACCATCTATAGGCATGATGAGGTGGTGTTGTTGTGGTTGTTGTCAGTTTGCTTGTAAGGTGTGGAAGTATATGTAACACTCTTAAACGTCTAAACAAATAGATGAGGTGGGAGTTAGGAACATAAAGCAAGACACTTGGAATTTATAGGCTATCCATATTGATTTTTAGCCAGCTTCACCAAACCCTTTATTTGTCCTTTATTGTTATTAGAATTCAAAAGTGTTGGGCTAAAAAGCCTAAAACCTCTAATATTTAATAAGTCAATGTTAGAAGACCAAAGGTCTTCTTCTTTACAGTTGGTATTGAAACTAGAAAGAAGAATTGGTCAGAAATGATGACAATAGAAATAGGAAGGTTACACGTAGTAGTTTATGGGTTTTTGTAACTGTAGTTGTTGGCGTGACCACTGAGAAAAATCCTTTTCGTAGTAGGTTCACCAACTATGTGAAACAGTGAAACTTATAATATATACTTTAGATGAAGGTAACTCTTACCTACTGCAACATTATATTCATACTTAATAACCCTTTAAGGGTCTGCATTTCATCATCTCTCATCATACTGACTGAATTGAGTGGTGTAACTGTAATCATAGTGTCTTTCTACACTAAAAAGAAAAAGCACTCAAACAAAACATTCTTCTCTTAAATTACCATTTTCAAATATGATTGTATACCAATCTATAGCTAGTCAAGGAAGCAGACAGTCAAGCTTTGAGTCAAGGCTCTAATTGGTACTGTATTGGTTCAGCAGCAAGGGTGCATTGGACATGATTGTGTTGTTGTAGACTTCACTTGATTTAAGGACATCATGGCATTCTAATGCAATTCACGTCTTTCACTGGAAGTGTCCAGTGTTGTCAAGGGTTTTATTTTAAACCTTTTCCATCACCACATCTTTCACTGTAAGCGTTGCTGTTACGGGTCTATTTAAACCTTTCATCTTTCACTAGAATTGCTCTTACAGGTCTTTTTATACCTCAGTTTTATAATTCGGACTTTTTTTTTTAATTTGCATTTTATTGATAAAAAAGGATACAAACCAAGAATATGTGCACCAAGAGTGCACTTACAGAGAGAAAAAAATCCCTAAATAATCAGCCTAGATCAATTTGGCCTAACAAAACCATATCCCGCTTAGTGACCAGGTCAACAAAAAGGAACTTTTTCTTATCCGGCCAATTCCCACACCAAAACCAGATTGTCGCTTGTTGTTTGATCTCATTACAAATTCTTTCAAGGTTGAAAACCTTACCTCAAAAAAATTTTGCATTCCTCAATTTCCACAGAATCCATACTGATGCTATGGGTAGCAAACCCCACACTCTTGCAGCCCATTCTTGACTCTGTCAACTTTTGTTTAACTACAATTAGCCATCCACATTGCTGAAATAATTGACCACTCGTACTGCTGAAATAGAAACCCCAACAATAATTGGCCATTCCACGTGTCTAAAATAGAAACCACAACAACAATTGGCCATTCCACATTGCTGAAATAGAGACATTGTCTACAACAATAATTTTGGCCATTCACACTGCTGAAATAGTGACTTTGTACTGGAATAATCTTAAGCATTAACTTACAACTAATAGTTATTCTAAAGTAATGCACTTCTTGTCTTCTTCTAATGCAAAAGACCGAAACATAAAACAAGTAATAGTCGTGTGTACTCCTGTATTTGGAAATTCAAATGATGATAAACACATTATTACCAGAAAATTTATTTCTACCTTTCCTAGTGCCATGAAAGTTCTAACAGTAACTCATTATTTAAACATTCAATATATGCTAGATTTGGCATATACAGTATCCACATTGCCATTAGGAATTGAAGTACACAAACAGAAACTCAAGATCTTCATCAAACATTACAAAAATTCAAGACTGAAGAATGTCACATTCTAGCATTCCAGTATAAAGGCCAAAAATCCCAACCTTGCTGCAATGACCATTATAAATAAACATTCTAGCATTCCAGTATATGATTCTAGGATTCAAGTATAAAGAAACATTAAATTACAATTATGATATCAAAATTTATAATCTAATAAAAGAAAAGATTATTTTCAAATAAAATAGACAAAATACTGAAAAAACAAAACATTATAATCAACTTAACAACTCCTTGAGCAGATCTATGTCCAGATATTTAAAACACTAGTTTTTAAAGAAACAAAATTTAGTTCCAAAGTACATACTCATTCTCCCATGGACCACCATCTGAGAACCAAAAATCTTTTAAGCTTCTACTTTTTCCACATCCTCAATAACAGCAACAGTCTTGGGAGACCTAGCCAAGAAGTCCGTGTACTCCTGGAAAGGAGATTTGGAGAACTTCGTCTCCCTCCAGAAATCAGGGGTCAGAAACCCATAAGTTTTCTGGAGACAGTCAAAAGTTGCCTGCATGGTCAAAAAAAGAAAAGAAGCAATTAGGCAATACCATACATGAAATCTTGTATCATATAGATAACACAGATGGACTCACACATTTCATTGAGCTCCTATATTATACAATAATCAAATCAATCATATTCACATTAGTAAAACATATCAGAAACAAGGGTTAATGCAATGTTTATATGGAATCATCATACACCGTATAACAAGACAATTCCATCCATCCACATTCAAATCCAAGAGAAACCTATGAAGTATTAAAACAATTGTCTCTACAAAACTATAAGAACACCACCAACCAAAATGACCATATTCTAACACTAGTATAAAAACTTTTTGAGATGTAAATATTAATATTTTGATTTATAGAAGCATAATATTCATTAGCTAACTTAATATTCAAGTTAATAAATGTTGATTTATAGAAACTTTCCGAGATGTAAATATTGTAGATATATTGATAGAACAATCTCTGCTCAGAAAATGAATTATCTTCTCATAGATTTCTGGAGAAACCTCTGAAGTCTGACATGTGAAGATTTCAAAATTCATCATCACAGACCTTTCATTAATGCATTGAGAAAAAAAAAACTCAGACAACAATTAAAATTACAGTATTACACAATGTTTTAAATTTATAACAACTTCATCAATATTCATTAGCAGCACAAGGTTAACAGATCTTTTAGAGATGTAAACTTTGTAAATAGATTAATGGAACAGTCTCTGCTCAGAAAATGAATTCTCTTCTCATAGATCTCTATAGAAATCTCTGAAGTCTGACATGTGAAGATTTCAGAATTCATCACCACAGATTTATGTTTCATTAAATACAGAGAAAAGTCTATAAACAACACTTTTCTAATAGAACCGTGTGTTATATCTATGAACAACGTTCAACATCAACAGCAAAAATCATTGGAAATATGTTAACTCAAAATAAATGCAATATAATTCCAGAAATCACTACTGCTCAGAAATGAATTCTCTTCTCATGGATTTCCAGAGAAATCTCTGAAGTCTGACATGTGAAGAATTTCAAAATTCATCACCACAGAACTAGTGATTTCAATAACCTTGAGTAGATACCGTGTACATTATGAAGAAGAGAGCAGTGTATCAAGGAATAATGCTCATAAACAATACTAAAAATCAAATCAATAATGACAAAAATATACTTGCGTTCAAGCCTAATTATAGTACAAATGAAAATAGCATACAGGGGAAAAAAAAAAGATTTAACAAATTTCTTTAAAAATTGTTGCAGCTCTCATAATAAAGTTATCAGCTTAGTGATATAACACATCACTCAGTATAGCGTATATTGCCAAAATCAGGCATGTAATCATTGAGCCAAATTTTAAGTTCAATCAACCAAAAAAAAAAATATTTACTTCATTTGGACCATATATAGTTACAATTAACAGAAAATACACGTATTCCAATTACAGCCTTAACAAAAGCCTATCCTATGCCAGATACATCATTGCAAACAAGACAAACTCATACATTTTTGCTTTGTAAGAATATTACAGGCAAAAAATTCCAAGGAGAGCTAAGAATGTTTCAAATGAGTGCAAAAAAAAGCCATAGAGCTGTAGAGATTTCATATTTGGTTTTTCTTCAAAAAAGTGTCATTTCATATTAAGTCCCTAACTTCTTTATAATACAGAGGATAAAATTTTTAACAGCGGCAACAAAAATAAACTCATAAAGCCAACGAATATAAAACCAAATAAAAACGAATGTAGACAAGCAACAATCAAATCGCCAATCAAAAAAAGGGCGAGTGAAACGATATCTTGCCTTGTTTCTTTTCTTCTGTTTTTAGCAACATAGAAACATTTCATATAGAGTCTCCAGTTTTATTTATATAACAGAGGATAATGTACACTACAACTATATTACATACATATATGCAAAAGCCAAAAATATCCATGGAACTTAAGTTAAACAAGTGTAGACAAGCAACAATCAAATTGCCAATCAAATAAAAGGGCAACTGAAACGATATCTTGCCATATTGGTATTCCTCTGTTTAAGCAACATAAAGACATTTCATAGAGTCTCCATGTTTCATTATAATACAAAGGATCAAAGCTCAAAAATAACAAAACCCAGACCTAAAATAAACAAGGCAGCAATAATGTGGCATTGCCAAAATGTTAATTAATGCAAAATCAATAAAAGGTTAATAAAGAGTCAATTCATATACCTTAACAAAGTTGCCCAATGTCTTGGTAGATCCCCTAGAAGAGGTAAACACATCATCAATTCCAGCAAACTGCAAAACCTTCTTAGGCACACGAGCTGCAACAATACCAGAACCACGAGGAGCTGGAACCATTCTAACAGTAACAGACCCACATTTACCAGTAACTTTACATGGAACAGTATGAGGTTTCCCAATCTTATTTCCCCAATAACCTCTTCTAACTGGAATGACAGACAACTTAGCCAAAATAATTGCACCTCGAATCGCAGTCGCAACTTCTTTACTACACTTAACTCCTAATCCAACATGTCCATTATTATCACCAACAACAACAAATGCTTTAAACCTAGTTCTCTGACCAGCAC